AACTATCATATAACCCCCAAGAGGAGTCTCAATAACATCATCCCCCCATAACCTTTCTAAAGTGCTCCACAGATTAAACACATTTCTTATCTATATTGTCTCACAGGAGCCTCACAAATGAAGATCTGTCTGATTATTTCCATTGTAAAGCTGAGGATACGAGTTCAAAGAAATTAAGTTACTTGCCCAAGGTCACATACTAGTAAGTGGTAGGGCTGGGATTTGAACCCTCGTTTCCTGACACTTTGTCCAGTCTGGGGCTGTTTGCTTGATGCCTCCAGGCAGACAGTTGGGGACAGATGCCAGGTTGCAGTGGTTGTGAAATCAACTGGAAGTGAAGAAATGGAAGAGAATATGCTAAGCAGCTTCGATTTGGTCTTGCAGCCATGGGAAGTTTCCTAGCAGGAGAATGACCTACTGAAAGCGAAGTTTTAAAAGGCTTATTTTTTACAGCCCTTCAAGGGTGCCCCAGACAAGCACTCACACACACCTGGAAGGATTACGAATTGTTTCAGCCTCTCAGAAGAGCAGTTTGGCAACATAGATAAGGAGTCTTTTAAAGGAAAGTTCATACTCTTCTAGAACCCTTCCTCAAGAATATAATCAGATAAGGATTAGACTTACACGTAAGGTCATTAATATTACAGAGAAGTATTTTAATAGCAAAAAAAAAATTTTTTCAGAAAAAAATTAAATGTCCAAAAGTAGACAAATAAAATCATGTATAGTTTATCGCAAGACAGAATGAGGGAACTTTTCAAACAACATTCTTAAAAAATTTCCAGTGGCATGGGAAAAAATCTCCATGATATAAAGTTAAGAAAGCAGAATATAAAATTATACAGTGTTAAGACAATTATGAAAATATACACACAGCTACACGTTCTCTGGGTGGTTGGATTATGAATGAATTATTTATACTTTCTTGGGTTTTAAAATTTTCTACAACATACATGTGTTACTTTTATGAGAAAAAAATAATAAAAGTTATGGAAAGAAAAAGAAGTTGACAACCACACAAGATGAATTAGAAGGGAAAGAGTAGAGGCAAAAACAAACAAACAAAAATCTGGCCTTTGATGGAGGGCATAGGGGGAGAGGGGAAGTTTGTTATTGTTGTTTTGTTTTGTTTCAATTAAAAGATGTTATACTACTTGTGGAAAAAAGAGGCACAGTCACCAATGGGAAAAGATTGGTTATTAGCTACAACAGAAATAGACCTACAGAAAAGATCACTAGTCACACACCATAGCTTTATTTAGCAGCCCCTCTTTTTATAGAAAAGAATACAATTAATTTTGACATTAGTCCAAATGTTATTATTTGTGTGGTTAGTTGTCACCTATTTATGGTTCTGAAAAAGATTGGTCTGTGAATACAAAGACTCCTGGGCTCCTGGTCTCTGCCATGAACTACTAACCTCTTGGGGAAATTGGCCTCAGTTTCCTCATCTGTTAAGAAGCACAAGTTAAAATAGATGATCTCTAAAACATTTTCCAGCCTTAAATGCTATGACTATTTTAGTCCATATTAATTTCATATTAATGAAACCAACCTGTAAGTGTATTTGTGTAAAATATTTTCAGCTAGACCACCCACCAAATCAAACTATTGGAATGCCTTCACACGTGCCAGTATTCTAGGTGCCATATTAAATTAAAACAGAGTTCTTTCTCCGGCATTTAACATTTTCAAAAATTGTTTGTAGACTTAAAGGAAAAGTGAGTTATGAGATTTGTGAAAAAAAGCTCTACAATGGGACATTTTTTTTTTTTTTTTTTTTGTCCAAAGACTAAAAGAAGCCCAGTTGAGGTGGCAGATGGGCAACACACCTAAACACACAGATAACCTTTTGGTACCACCTGCCTTGCTTTCATACAGAGTGAGGGTAAGCTTGACTTTTTTTTTTTTTTTAAAATACAACTGCCTTCCAATAAGAAATTTAGAGGGATCCTCCAAATATAAAATGCAACAGGGTGGAAACATAAAACCAGATCCAACTCACCTGAATTTTCAAATAAAGAACAAAAGCCTTCATTTAATAAACAGAAAATATTTTATTTTTTTACTTTTTATTTTTCTTTTCAGTAGTGGTACTTCTTGCTATAGAAAATATTTTAAAGCGGGAGTCTACAAACTTTTTCTTAAAAGAACAAACTTTAATTTAGGCTTTGCTGATTATAGAAGAATCTCTGTCCCAACTATTCAGTTCTGCCTTTGTAGCACAAATTATTCATAGACAATTCATGAACAAGTGGACATGGCTTTGTGCCAATAAAACTTTTTTACAAAAACAAAGGGCCAGCTCATTTGCGTACTATCTTAGTCTATTTTCTGTTGCTATAACAGAATACCTGAGACTGGATAATTTATAAAGGAAAGGGGTTTACTTAGCTCACAGTTCTGGAGACTGGAAAGTCCAAGATCAGGTTAATGCATCTGATGAGGGCCTCATGCTGCTCCATAGCATGGCAGAAAAGAGGATGGGCAAGCAAGCCTATGTACACAGAGGCGGGCTAGCTTTATAACAACCTGCTTTTGCAGTGACTAATCCAGTCTCAGGAGGAGAACTCACTCACTTGAGAATTAACTCAGCCCCTCGAGAACAGCATTAATCCCACTAATGACCTAATCACCTTTTCAATGCCCTACATCCCAACACTTGCACAATGGGGACAAAATTTCCAACACATGAATTCTAAGGGACTCACTCAAACCATAGCACCTACTCCTGTTGTAAAGCATTTTTTCTATTCACATTGCATCCAGTTATTAGGAGATAAGGGTGAAAAGGAAGAGTAAGAAAAATAATGAGTGGAAAGACTGAGGTAGATGGGAGGAATGAGTGGGAGGGAGATAGAGAGAAAATGCAAGAAGGGTAGTGACTTGAGCCCAAGGAGGAAATTAAAGTTAATACTCACACGGAAGAGGCCAATGCAGAAAGAAAAAAAAAAAGAGGGAAATGAAGAAGAAGAGAAAAAGTGATAAAGAGAAACAGCACACAAGCATGAAACCTGTTATTATTATTGTCATTGGGTCACAAAGAAAAATGCTAGGAGTCATTTATAAACAAAAAGCACTTATAACTAAATTTGGTGGGGTTTTTTTATGTTTGACTCGCAGCCTTAAATCTTTTATTTTGCAGTGGCTTCTGTCTGTAATTCCAGTGCTTTGGGAGGCCATAGCAGGAGGATCACTTGAGCCCAAGCACCTTGGGCAACATAGCAAGAATCTGTCTCTACAAAGAAATGAAAAAAATTAGCCAGGTATGATGTCATGCCCCTGTGGTCCCAGCTACTCAGGAGGCTGAGGCGAGAGGATCACTTGAGCCTGGGAGGTCAAGACTGTAGAGGGTTGTGATTGTGCCACTGTACTCCAGTCTGGGTGATGGAGTGAGCCCCTGTCTCAAAAAAATCAATCAATCTTTATTTTTTAAAAAAGTTTCAAAAACCCGTAAGAAAAACAGACTAAAGAAGAAAGGCTAAAAGTAAAGGGATCCAAAGAAAAGAATTTATGACAATTCCTGAAAGGAGAGCACCAAATGGGAGAAGGGCAGGACACAGTGACAGGTAGGAGAAAAGGAAAAGCAAAGGGTCTATTTTTCCTGTCCTCTCAGTCTCTACTTCCTGGAATTCCAAGTGCCAAGTCTGATCTTCAACCTCTAGAAATTTCCTGTTCAAAATGGCCAGTTGACACACGTCCAGCAATGGCTTGGCAGCCATCCCTCCTCAGCCCTTCGCTCATCCCAAGCCCAAGTGGTCTCAGCCTACCAGCCACTTGCCTTTCCAGAAATGGCTGAATGTCAAATCCCTCCCTGGCACTGTGAGTGTGTACACTGACAAGGGTGGAAAATTAAGCATAGATCCATTTCCTCATCCATTGGTCACACCTCAGCATTTCAAGTAAGAATTACATGGAAAGGACCTCCAGACCTAGGGGTCCTGTAGCACTTTGGTTCTAATGACTAAAGCAGACTCTTCAGTTCTGACCTTGCAAACATCATAACCTGAGGTGTGGGTATGAGAAAGAATAAAGGCCTCGAAGTCATTGGGCAGAATTACATTTAAGCCATCTCAATTAAATGAGCATTAATCTCTCTCCCTGCCCCTTTCATTTCTTTCTCTTGTGCTCCATTTGTCCTCCAGAGACAACTCAAATGACCTCTTTTCAATCCATACCTGGCTTTAAATAACACTCACATTCAGGAAGTTCTTCTTTACATTTAACCCAAATCCTTTCTGCTAAGTTAAAACCCGTTTCCTCAGTGGAGATTTGGAACAGCTGGTTCCCATTCTCTGTATGGCAACTCTTCTTAAAGATTCATAGGCTTATAAAGGATGTTCATACCAACCCCACCTAAGGCATACAGCTCCCTTAAGCATTTTCCAGTAATACTTTCCTATGCATTTATCAATAATCAATTGCCTAGTCTGTGGAGATCTGACTCATTGAGCAAATTTCTACAGCTCAAGGAAGACAACATCCAGTAACTCAAGGGGCAAAGGGGCGTAAAGGCAATCACTTTTTACTTGAATTATTAAATACCTGCTTTTGTGAAGACACTGCTAACTTGAAGTTTGGGACAGAACAAAGACTGAAACTGAAGCAGAGTGTGTATGTCTGAGGAAGGAAGCATGTGGGAATGACCAATCCTTGGCCAACTGCCTACAGCTCTGCTCAAGAACATCTCTTTGTGTGAGCAAGGAGAGGCATCTTAGAATTTTAACAAATAGCACCCAATGTTGGTCTCTCAATAAAGTTTGTAACTGTCTTCTCCCGATTACATATCTCAAACCGTTTCTTCTCTAAAGCATTAAAAAAATATATCCGGAATAATACAAAAGATCTTCAGCTGACTTTTAGGAGCAAACAACATATGTTCTTGAACATCTGTGCTTTTCCCATGCAATTTTTTTTCCATTATTGTCAAGAGAAAACTAGTTTAGTGGAATGTTTCTCCACAGAGGCACAAGTCTGTCATACTCCCTGTTGATTACATATAAAAGACACAAAATACTAGTTTATTAAAAGCAGCTTCAACCATTGCTGTACAAAGCAGTTCTCTGATGGAACAGATTTATGAAGTAACAGCTGAAAGGTATGCAGATCACAAGATACATGACAAATGTACTTTATTACATGGATCAGAAATACCATATGTACTAGCAGTTACTGTACAATGATACACAACACCCAACTAAGACTATTTAAAGGTTTTGCTGATATTGAAAACTATAAAGACACAATGTGAGAGTAAGAAAGTGTTTCATAAGATAGCATAATGCCAAGACAATTCATCGTTTTAGGATATTAAATACATTCTGCATATTAAAAACTCAATGTATTATAAAGCTATGCCATTCTTTAAATGAAAATTCGAAGGACTTTACTCCATTCATTTTTTTTACAGGACTATTGCAGTACCATTCATTGTTTAAAGCAGATGTTTATAACATTTTTCCATACTTTAAAGTGGAACTTAATGGAATGAATACCAGACCTAACATTAACAAAATTAAAGAGATTTCATATTTTATTTCCACCAAAAGATACTTAAGTCTACAGTTATGTAGTGCCAAAAAACTATGTAGAGCAAAACAAGCATGGTACGTTTCAAAGATGACAATTTATTACGAGGCATTTTTTTTTTTGGCTGAAAAGAACTTTAACAGCTTTCAACCCAAATTCCAAGAACAGTTGGCCCTCTGTATCTGTGAATTCTGCATTTGTGGCTTTGTCCTGAGATAAAAAATATTCAAAAGAAAACTACAGTTGCATCTATACTGAACATGTACAGATTTTTTTTCTTATCATTATTCCCTAAATAATACAGTATAACAACTATTTATATAGCATTTTCATTGTATTACTATAAGTAATCTAGAGATGATTTAAAGTACAGTCATGCATTGCATGATGACATTTCAGTCAATATAGATAGTGGCCCCATTAAGATTACAGTGGAGCTGAAAAATTCCTATGGCCCAGTGACACTGTAGCCATCTTAACATCACAGTGCAACGCATTACTCACATGTTTGTGGTGATGCTGGTGTAAACAAACCTACTGTGCTGTCAGTCATATAAAGGTATAGCACATACAATTATGTATAGTTCATAATGCTTGATAATAATGACTATGGTTTATGGCTTTACTATACTTTTTATTTTAGAGTGTACTCCTTCTACTTAAAGAAAAAGTTGACTGTAAACAGCCTCAGGCAGGTCCTTCAGGAGGTATTGCACAAGAAGGTGTTGATCTCATAGGAGATGGCAGCTCCATGCCTGTTATTGCCCGTGAAGACCTTGCAGTGGGACAAGCTGTGGAGGCGGGAGACAGTGTAGATGGAGGCTAATGTGTTTGTATCTTAGTTTTTAACAAAAAAGCTTAAAAAGAAAAGAAGTTTAAAAAATTAAAAACTGTGGAAATAGAAAAAAGCTTATAAAAATATAAAATATTTGTGTGCAGTTGTACAATGTATTTATGCTTTAAGCTAAGTGTTATGACAAAAGGGTTATACAGTTAAAAAAAATTAAAACGTTTATAAAGTAAAAAAGTTACAGGAAGCTAATTTATTATTGAAAAAAATTTTTTGTAAGTTTAGTGTAGCCTAAGCGCACAGTGTGTATAAAGTCTACAGCAGGCCAAGTGCAGTGGCTCACACCTGTAATCCCAGCACTTTGGGAGGCTGAGGCAGGTGGATCACCTGAGGTCAGGAGTTGGAGTCTAGCCTGACCAACATGGAGAAACCTCATCTCTACTAAAAATACAAAATTAGCTGGGCGTGGTAGTACATGCCTGTAATCCCAGCTACTCGGGAGGTTGAGGCAGGAGAATCACTTGAATCCGGGAGGCGGAGGTTGAGGTGAGCTAAGATCGCGCCATTGCACTCCAGCCTAGGCAACAAGAGCGAAACTCCGTCTCAAAAAAAAAAAAAAAAAAGTCTACAGCAGTATACAGTCATGTTTGAGGCCTTCACATTCACTCATAGCTCACTCACTGACTCATCCCAAGCACCAGTCCTGCAAGCACTATTCGTAAGTGCCCTATACAGGTGTACCATTTTTTATCTTTTACACTGTACTTTACTGTACCTTTTCTATGTTTAGATATACAAATATTTCCCATTGTGATACAACTGCCAACAGCACTCAGTATAGTAACTGACAGATTTGTAGCCTAGGAGCAATAGGCAATATCACATAGCCTAAGTGTAGTAGGCTATACCATTTAGATTTGTGTAAGTACAGTCTATGATGTTCACACAATGATTAACGATATTACCTAATGACACACTTCTCAGAACACATCCCAGTCATTAAGTGACATATGACTGTATATGGGAGGATGGGCACGGGTTATATGCAAATATTTCACCAGTTTATGTAAGCGATTCAAGCATCTGTGGATTTTGGTATCTGCAAAGGTCCTGGCACCAATCCCCAATAGATTCTGAGGGATAACTGAACGATGTTTGAATCCGTCTTGCTACATTCCAACCAAATGCCTGTCCACCTTAGACTGACACCCCAAGGCTCCCAAGGTGCCCATTTCAGCTCCCAAAATCTTGGTTAGAAGGTGCTTCCTTAAATTAAATAAAAGTCTGTCTCTCTGTAGCTTTCCATCACAGGTATTCATTCTATACTCTGGGACAAGCGGCCTTGCTCACTACTTAACAGTTGCATGACTTTTGGTAAATTTGTTAACCTTTCAAACTGTTTTCTCATCTGAAAATAGGGATAATTAGAGTATTGATCCCACAGTGTTTTAAGGATTAAATAATATACGTAAAGCATTTAAGAGAGTACGCATTCTCTAAATGTTGGCTGTTGGGTTATTTTTACTGCTTGCCTACCAAATTAACCTTATTTGGCAACACATTATATTTTTTCCCCTGCTCTATAATAACTGCAAAAGAACCTTGGCATTCAACTGTGGAAAATTTAGGGTTCTTTTTGTAAGCAGGCCCAAGAGTGGCCCTGGGCCTCCTGGCTACCTGACAGTCCTCTGGGGGACAGCAGAGTGACCTTTGACCTGATGTAAGTACTTAACAGTCCCACCTCACCCCTAAACATTTCCTTGTAAAATTGGTATGTGTCTACTGCAACGGTGTTTCTATTAATATATGCAGGCAAATAGAGGGAAAAAGACATATATTTTGTGTCTAGCACAAACTTGAATCACTCTGCCAGATGGCATCAGAAGTTAGTCACTTAACTAGTAAGGTTAGCCAACAGCTTAGCATCTGCATTTCTATTGTAGTATTTATAAATGTGGCAATACCTTAGATTCCTCCCAATTTTATGTTGTGGTCAGCCCTTCCCTAAACTACACATTGCTGCCCCTCACCATCACCACCAGTCCATTTCAGATACTTGATTCAAGTCATTTATAGCTATTTTTCTTCTCCAGCTCTTAAGCCATATCCCAGAAACATGGATCCAAATTTTGAAAATATCCAAATTTCCTAATAAGCAAATATATACTGCAGAATCCTTATTTGATGTAGCATATGAATTACATAGTGGCAAGAGATATCTACACTAATGTGATGTAGAAAACAGGATGTGGTCAAAACCATTACTTGATTCTACCTTAGAGGTTCAACTGCAGTTTGCGTTTCTTCTCTGATTAGTACCTTAGGCAACTAATGATCATGGCCTACACCTTCCCCTTTTGGACTGGTCAGCCCGTTCTTAATGATGCGTCACCTGGGGATATCCAGTCTGTCTTAGGTCTAGAGACTTGAGGAGGTTCTGTACATCATTTTTCTACTTAAATGTGCTCTTTATCTGATCCTGAGCCCACATGAACCCAGTCTATCATAGGTTGACCCAAAAATAGGTATTCTATCCTAAAATCACCTTTCTCTCTTAGCAAGAATTTGCACATCCTTGAGAGGCAGAATGGCATTGTAAGAGTATAGGCTCTAGAGCCACACTGCCTAAATTTGAATCCCAGATTTCAGTTTTAGTTGTATGGCCTGTGTGCCTCAGTTTCCCCATGTGTAAACAGAGATTACATTAGTACCAAACTCAGATAACATCAGTACCAAACACATGAGATTGCTGGGCAGATTAAATGAGTTAATACTTGAAGCAGGTTTGATCATCTTTAAATAATATTTTGATTTCAGACTTAATTTCTTAAAACACAAAAAGTGTTACATTCAATTCCTAATGTGATTTAGCTCACTCAATCTAATTCCAAAATGATTTGGTGCTTACCTTGAGCTCCATCTTGTGGCTTTACAGCAATTCTCTGGAAAATGTCAGGCAAAAAGATGACAAATTTCAAAAAGATAAGCTAATTATTTAAAAGATAAAAGGACTATGCTATACTTCTCGATTTGTAATCTTTAAAAATAAAGTGACAAAGATGTGACCATACCCCTGCACTAATTTTGAAATGCTAGTCTAAATTTCTTGCCAATATTTGGAGGTGGGGAGAATCTTGCTGGCAATCTTCAGGAACTCAGTGCCTTAGAGGCTACTCACAACACTGTGTCAGTAAACTTCTCTTCAGCAGTCACCTTTCCAGAGGCCATATGACACTTGAGAACATGATTCCCAAGCATGTTTTTTGGTAATGGTACTTTGATTTTTCATTTTGTTAACTTTTAAGTTAAATTCTGAATGGACAAACTTCATGACTGGACACATTGAAGTGAAAATCCTAACATCAGAGAGGCTCTGGATGAAAGCTCAAAGCTACTATCAGTAGAATCAAATTAGAGATTATCAGTCACAGAAACCATGAACATAACCCTAGCACTGGTCTCTATCTGACAATGCTGCCAAAATGTAAGTAAGTGCCAAGTGTGTAATATCACTGATGTAGACTTTATTTTTGAGATGGCGTTTCGCTCTCTTGCCCAGGCTGGAGAGCAATGGTGTGGTCTTGACTCACTGCAACCCCCACCTCCCAGATTCAAGTGATTCTCCTGCCTCAGCCTCCCAAGTAGCTGGGATTATAGGCACCTGCCACCATGCCCAGCTAACTTTGTATTTTTAGTAGAGACAGGGTTTCACCTCTGGTCTCAAACTCCTGACCTCAGGTGATCCACCTGCCTTGGCCTCCCAAAGTGCTGGAATTTGGTGCCAGCCCCCTTTTTAAAAAATCATAAAAAATGTCTACATTAGGCTGGGTGTGGTGGCTCATGCGTGTAATTCCAGCACTTTGGGAGGCTGGGTCCGGTGGATTACTTGAGTCCAAGAGTTTGAGACCAGCCTGGGCAACATGGTGAAACCCTGTGTCTACAAAAATACAAAAATTAGCTGGGCGTGGTGGCACCCACCTGTAGTCCCAGCTACTGGTGAGGCTGAGGTGGGAAAATCACTTCAGCCTGGGAGGTGGAGGTTGCAGCGGAGCCACGCTTGTGCCAATCACTCCAGCCTGGGTGACAGAGTGAGACCCCAACTCAAAAAAAAAAAAAAAAAACGTAAATAATTCAGCTAGTGTATTTATAGGCTGATATTGTCAGTGGCTTAACTGGATGTTTGCAATTTTTTTATTTTATGAATAAAAATGTACATATCCACTTTTCCCTCACAAATGCTATTGTAATTCATACCTACACCAAAAGGCAACAAAAGTCATGAATGACATCTGTCTTTCAATTCATATCTTAGCTGTTAAGAAATTTTAAGCATTTAAAGTTATCTACCAACTTTTCAGTAAACTATTGAGAAAAATGAGAAAAGCCTACTATATTTAAATAATTCCAAGAGTTTACTGGCATCAAATTTTATAAGTTTAAATTTTCTGAAACATTTGGGTCATGTCCTCTTTATCTCTGTATTGTGCCCAATTTAGCAGTGTGCCTGACACAAAAGTTTGTGACCTCATGACCAAGTGGCCTTATTCTAATATATCGCACATTTTACTTGAGTTCTCCTGGGAAGTTAACATCCTCTTCTAAACAGATACACAGCTCCCAGCCCTATGAGAGCAGAAATCTTATCTTATTCAATCTGTCCCAAGCATCTGGAAAGTCCCTGGCACATACTAGGCACTCAGTATTTGGTTGTTCCAGTTAACATATGAGATGGTTAATCTGATTATAGTGAAATTCAGAGGGAATGCTAGGTTTTGATTGCTTAACTAAAAGTAAATTTAAATAAAAGTGAATTTAGCAAACTGTAGTAAGACAGATTTAACTAAAAATCATTTCTCAGAAAACTAGTTTCAAAGAGTAGAAGTTAAACAGGTTTCTTTACCGCTGGAACCCCGTAGGATTATTCTAATCCTAAATTAAAATCTTTTGTAAATCATCAAGTATGCAGCATTTCCCAAATTGATATGAACACAATTTATTTATTTTTTAACCAAGCATCCAGAGAAACTGATTCTGAAGAACACACTCTGGGAAATGCTGCATGATACTAAAACCTGAAATGTTCTAATTTCCTAAAAATCATACTGACTTGTATATGTTAATATTCTACCTAAAATTAAGACAAGAAAACATTTAATTGAAGAATCTGGTCTTCTCTAGGGCTAAAAAACCTTAAGCATATATGAAAGAAAAAAAAAAAATCAAACTTGAAGATCTACACACAAAATATCTTTTATTCTGTGGAATCAAAGCTCCACACAAGTACTTTATAAGATCCATTAATGTATTTTTTTTTTTTTTTGAGACAGAGTCCTGCTCTGTTGCCCAGGGTGGAGTGCAGTGGGGCAATCTCGGCTCACTGCAACCTCCACCTCCTGGGTTCAAGCGATTCTCCTGCCTCAGCCTCCTGAGTAGCTGGGACTACAGGTGTGCGCCACCATGCTCAACTGATTTTGTATTTTTAGTAGAGATGGGGTTTCACCATATTAGCCAGGCTGGTCTTGAACTGACCTGGTGATCCGCCTGCCTCGGCCTCCCAAAGTGCTGGGATTACAGGTGTGAGCCACCGTGCCCAGGCCTAATGTTGTATTTTTAAATGGTATGATTATACAACAGCTTTCTTTAAATCTAAGTTCACAAAAATTTGTCAGTGCATCATCTGTTTTATCTCTACTGACTATAATTACCACTTGTAAGAACGTCTAACCACATTAATACCTGACAGAACTTTGAGGCCTGATTATAACTGGATATTGGGTAGCATCCAATTAAAGTATCAGTAGAGCTTGGATGTATCAAAGAAAATATTTTATTTAAGTTCCCAAAACAAACTTGAGGAGTTATGCTGGGTTTGAACTGCAGAAAAAAGGCCAAGTTAAAATAGGAAAACAAATAGTTTTCATTTGGTGGCAGGTGAAATCAAAGTATACATGTGTATACATTCTAACCCATCATCTATCCCGTGTGGCATTTTCCAAGGTTTTAAGAGTCTACCAGGCCAAACCCTTTGCCACTTTCACTGCTTTTGCTTTGCTTTTCCCCTTTCCTTTCTCTCGCTTTGCCTTCAGCCTTTTTCTTTGCCTTTGGTTCATCCATATTGGGTACTGTCCATGCTGGTCTAGAAGAGTCTTTTTGTTTCTCTTAATATCAGTCTCCATTTTCATGTCATCTGCATAAAAAGATGGAAAAACTGTTAACATCATGTATGAAAAAAAACCACCCTGTGTATTAGCATACATATTAATGCACTGAGCATATTAATGCACTGAGAACATCAGAACACTAGAACTGAAGATACACCGAAAATAGAGAAGAAAAAACTTTCTAAAGAATGTTGGCATGATCTTCCTTAGAATAATAATGTTAAATAGGACACATTTAGGATGCATGCTTCTGAGTTAGTACATTAGTAGATATATGGTTCTGAGCACATGTGAGTTACAAAAACATTTCTCATATTAAGTGATTCCTTGAGTTAAGCCAGTAAGCCCACCTACACTTCTAAGGCATAGACCTTAGATGTAATGAACTGATTAGGAATGTCTGGCCATTTCTTATGAACTTAAACTAAATTAAAATGAACTGAGAACGAACTTCTAATGAACTCGATGGAGTAGTCAGCAGCAGGATTGTAATGGGAGAGACAGGCACTCAACAGAGAAGAAAGACCTGGACACATCCTGGGGCTGGCATACTTTTCCTAGGTAGGTAACACTCAAGAGATCCAGCTCTACTGATAGGAGACTTGGCAGGAAGCTCAGTGCAAGCATGCTGTGGTACATCTAGAACCTTCTCCACTGTGAAGGACACGTCCAGAGTCCTTCACTGGGACCTCTTTACCAGGATACACAAGGTCTTCTATTATCTTGACTACCTGGCATTATATTAGATATTCATCATTGTTTCCACAGTATCTAGAATAGTGTCTGGTATATAACAGCCAATCAATAACCAGGTGTTGAATGATTATTTTAGGTGCTGTTCTAGTTTATGGGGATATAGTGGTCCATATGAGCTCCTAGCTCTGACAGAGTTTACGATGTTCTGTTGAGGGGAGAATAAGCAAACAGAAAGAAAACCTCAGCCAGGTATAGTATCTATAGGCATCTGTAGTCTCAGCTATTTGGGAGACTGGGGAGGGAGGATCATTTGAGGCCAGGAGTTCAAGGCTGTTGTGGGCTTGGTCACGCCTGTGAACAGCCACTATACTTCAACCTGGGCAACAAAATGAGATCCTGTCTCCAAAAAAAAAAAAAAAGAAAAGCTGGTAGGTCGGGCTGTACCGAAGCACATTTAAGATACATGAGGTTTTTAGGCATGACAGTGATA